ATGGAAATGGAATTTTAAGATGGGGCATTTTAAGACCAAGAGCTCTGTTAGGGTCCAAAGTCAAATTAAGATACGCAACTTCAGCTACATCAATTGCATAGCTGAAGTCAAAATAGCTTAATTCATCTTTTGGCGCTGTCTACACAGCAGGAAGTCAAAGAAAGAACACACTTCCTTCAACATCCCTTACTCCTTGTGAAATGAGGGTTACCATGAGTTGGAGTAAGAAGTCCTCCAGCTCAACATTATTTTGAAAAAAAGGCTTGTAGTGTAAATGCACACTATGTTAAGGATCAGTTTATATCCCACACAAGGCTATTTTGCATGGGCTCTACCTTAACTCAATGGAAGTTAAGTGCCTAGACATTTCTTAAAAACTCACAGTGCTTATCTGCACCTTTGGATGCCTAAACATGTTGAAAAATCTGGCCCTTAAATTCCTGTGTCTCACTGAAAGGCAATAGGACGTAGGCTCCTAAGTGTCCGAATCCTTTTTGAAAATAGAACTCAGGCTCCTGAATCAGACACTTTAGATCATTTTACCCCGTAACATTTATAGTAGCTTTAAAAACTCTGAAATTATTCCTTGTTGTATATTTAGTGTTCATCATCATTCTCCATTAGGTATTATGAAGTATAAATTAGAAGGATAAAAGCTGTAAGTAAAAATACTCTACATTAGAAGACTCAGAAGTGAAAAGTAGGGCCATTTCCAATTGTACTGAGTTGAAATGTGAGGCCAAAAAATCCTCACAGCAATGATGAATCTCTAAACTTCATGGGAGAAGGAGAAAAGCTCTCATCAGTTCCTATTGGATAGAAACTATACGAACATCATGGGCAAACTAACAGAGTTTCTGAGTCTCATCTATCCAGGCAAAAGATTTCATGTAATGTGATGGCTTCACTACCTTCAGGCACCATTTCACTTCTTAGAAACCATGTTACAATGTCAAAGTGAAATAAAACAATGTCATTTCAAGTTAAATGGCCTTTTAAAAGTAAATTAAATTGAATAAGTACATTAGAGCAAGGATATGGCTGTAACTTAAACACACAAAATGGGAAGCTCCTAAGATAAAGATTCTGCAGCCTCCTTAACTTAATTTGTTGAGGTCTAAGAACTATAAAACATGATATTTTATGGAGTCTGAGTCAACTCCCATTGAAGCCAATAGATATCTTGGAACTGACTTCATTTAGAGGTGGATAAATCCATTTAGTGAAAGTGAGCTCATAATCTATAATCCTTGGCTTCCTTTTAAAATTGATTTTACACACCCACTGCCCAATCTTCTAATACATTAGATACTAAAATACTTATATCTCACCCTCTGCTGTCAACTGCTTGATAACAGAGTAAAAATGAACAACTCTTCTTCTGCAAAGATTGAAATAAAAGGGCCAGTTCCACAGCTGGTGCAAATAAACACAGCTCTGTTGGCTTCAGATGAGCCATGCTGCTTCATATAAACTGAGATCTGCCATAGGACTTTATGTAACTGGGATATAAATGCAATGCACTTAGAATTGTGCATTGTTACTAACTTGGATTGAATTGGGTAAAGTGTACATGAAGGGCATTAACAATGCTGATACATAAGACTAAGAATGTGAGACTTGATGTGAAAGCTTTTGTAACTGACATTAGTATACAGAACTCCAAGGGAAAGATAACAGACTTATATTTTGTTTTATACTTGCCAGGATTTGAGGAATGGGGAGCCGACTAAAGGTTAGTGTTTCTTGTTTTAACTTTTTGTTTTGGACAGACAGCTGAATTTGTTATTATTTTGGATGGACTGTGTTTTTAACAAATATGCCAGGAGGCTCTAAGAAAGCAAAGCTCTAAGAAAAAGAAACATAATAATAAAATGGAGTCACACATATAATGGAGATTTATTTCCCCTAATAGAAAACTGTCACATTTTGTCCATTCTATCACAGTACAGACAGTATTCATTGGGTCGATAGAAAGGGTAGAATGTAATGTCCATCAAGAGAAAATATTTGTTATAAGGATGTAGACTAGATATATAAATGGAAAACATGATATCTGATTTTATCAGCATAAGCTTGTGGCATGGGCCTACCACCAGTTCTCATAAAAACATCTGCTGTTTCAGACTCTGTCTCTGAGGCTATGTCCACACTGTGTATTTTTTGTGAAAGAGGAAATGTAAATGGAGTTCTCATTTGCATATTTCATGCTTTCATTTGCATATCTTCTTCCAATCCTTTTTGTGGAAGAGGTTTTTGCGATAAAAAGCCCTGTGTAGACAGGGCCATTTGTCAGAAAAAAAAACCTTTAGCACAAGGGCCCTTATTCCTCAAAAATGAGGTTTACAGGCTCTTGCGCAAAAGAGCGTTTTTCCAAAAAATGGTCCCGTCTACACAGAGCTTTTTATCGTAAAAACCTCTTCTGCAAAAAAACATACAGTATAAATGTAGCCTGTGTGTGAACAATACTTTGATCTCCTAGTCCTGTCAGTACAGAATTGACACCCTGGTTCAGTATTATTGTATGACATGCATAAATCGTAATATAACTATTTATGCATGCTATCCAGTAATTTTGAACCAGAGTGTCAGTTCTTTGTCTCTCTAGTGACAGGACTAGGAGATCAAATTATTGTTATTATGAACCTGGGCCGAAATCCTAGTGCCATCAAATTCAATGGCAAAACTCCCTTAGCCTTTAATTGGGCCAGGACTTTACCTGTGGAGTTTTAAACTTCCACTTTCACTTCAAGGATTTCCCGCCCTGCAGGGTGAAGTCCACTGAATAACTGCAACTTCCTGAAGAAAAGATATTTTCCTACTGGACAGAAGTACTGTTATGACTTCAGGACTGTGCTGTAAATGCTCATTTCTGCACAATGTAAATGAATACCATGCTTTCCAGCAATTGTCAAAGAAAAAAATGTGCGCCAATGAATACAAAGTACACACTGGCAGGCTTGACAGCTATTAAGCAACAGCCAGAAGAAAATGGCATAAGGTCACTTACATTAGTCAAAATTCTGCATTGTGCTGGTACATACAAGCACTAATGAAAGCCAGTACAAGAGTGTAGACATTACTACTTTTGTCATCTAATGATAATGAGGTCTTTAACAATCTGAGCAGTAGAGAGGCACCTATTAGAGCTAAAGAACTTCACTACCTCACCAAATGGAAATCTCTTTACTATTGGATTGTGATTCTAGGCCTGTAAGGGAAGAAAACTCCATTGACGGGCTAAAGATCTCCTTTGGTTGTCCCAGATGCACAAATACATCAGTATGCAATAAGGGTGCATCTATACTTACTGGCGGATCAACAATCCGGAGGTTGATCTTCTGGGGTTTGATTTAGCACGTCAAGTATAGACCCGTAAATTAAATGCTGAGGGCGCCTCCTGCTGGAGTCTGTACTCGCAGTTGCATCCACACATTCCTGTCACACATTCCTGTGCTTGTTCACATACACATCTATAAAAGTATATTTGTTCTGGAAAGCACAGTAAGATGAGACTCCAGAATATGGTTTAACTAGACTGCAGCTTTATTAAGGAACACATCTGTGAATTATCCAGAAATAACTCCTCCAATACAAGTTATCCTTCCTTCCATAATTGGTATCTCTTGGCAGAAGAGTGCCAACATCTCCGCACCTCTTAAAGTGTTCCCAGCACTGATGCCAGGAACCCTTTATTCCCCACTCACCTGAGAGTTAAGGGACAGAGGTTGTCTTCTCATTGTACCAGACCGTAAGAGTTCCAATCCCATTCCTCACTTTTTTTAGGTAATGCCTTCTCCTAATCCACTTTCAGTACTGGTTTACCAGACACACCCCTCCCATTGACCAATATGTGCTCTAGGCACTTACCAAATTGTGATAAAATGAATGTTACCACCTAACCTATTCATTGTGTCCTTGGCCTGCTGGATCACAAGTTACAAAACCCCACACTGGCCATAGGCAAATTTAGACTGGCAATGAAGGAAAAATTCCTACCTAGTCCTAAAAAGTAACTAGCATGATGCCCACAGCAAGGTCCCAAAACTCAGTCCTATTCTAATCTCAAGGAGAAGAGAGGGATTTTTCTTCCCAGTGCACAATGGCACCTTTGGAAGCGAATAAGGTTATGCTGCAACCTTCTGTCCAGTCAATCAGCCACTTAGCTTCTTTCTCCTCTAGCCTATGGGGAAGAGACAGTTGGGAAGATGCAATCCTTAAAATGGCAAAGAGTTTTCTTTACCCTGAGGGCCTAGACAAAATCACCCCACCTTTGAGGCTACTAGGAACATATTTTGAGAGAAGTAAATACACTTTAATCTTCTGTACTACTCCCTTCCATTCTCCTGATCTATACCATAGAAATCCTCCTGTAAGAAATAAATGTTTTGATAGAAGATCAAGCATCAAAAATCAATACCAGGGAATAAGTACTGAAGAAGGAAACATTAGATTCCATTGTCTCCATGCCAAGGACCCCATACATTCTGAAATTCCATGGTCTCTGAATTTGCCATGGAATTCACCCCTTCCTGCAGAATTATGCTCCAGAACTAGGCTTTCACTTTTAAAGTATATTTCTAATCTTTAAGGTTTTGGAGATACCCTTCTAAAGGTGACACCAGTATAAACTCATTGGCTGCATCTAGACTGGCATGATTTTGCGGAAATACTTATAATGGAAAAGTTTTTCCATTAAAAGTATTTCCGCAAAAGAGTGTCTAGATTGGCACGGATGCTTTTGCGCAAAAAGTGCTTTTGTGCAAAAGCATCCATGCCCAGGATAGATGCGCTTTTGCGCAAGAAAGCTCCGATGGCCATTTTAGCCATCTGGCATTCTTGCGAAAAAAATTAAGGTGCCTGTCTACACTGGCCCTCTTGCACAAGTATTCTTGCGCAAGAGGGCTTATCCCTGAGAGGGAGCGTGAAAGTATTTGCGCAAGAAGCACTGATTTTGTACATTACAAAGTCAGTGCTCTTGCGCAAATTCAAGCGGCCAGTGTAGACAGCAGGCAAGTTTTTGTGCAAAAGTGCCTGCTTTTGCGCAAAATCTTGCCAGTCTAGACGCACCCAATATCCAGTGTTGCTTTGAGTCTGCAAAGAGCCTGGAACATTAAGCAGGTGTGATGTGAACTGCCCCATTTATTTTAACTGGGAGTGTTGGCTCTGTAATCTAAACATGTCAGTTTAAATGCCAACATTACTAATTATTGCACTGCTGACCAAGTGAACAGGAACACCATGCTATTGTCAGTATTCCACAATCCCAAATTCCTCCTCATGTCTCTCCAGGCACACAAATCTCCTACTCAGTTGCAAAAATCTCCCGGTTCTCCTTGGCAACTTGCAAATACAATTAGGTGTTGGCACTACAAAAATTTGTGGCATATTGAACACTAAAAGGAAGGGGACAGGGAGAAATAAATAAAATGTAACATCAAAATAACATGGGGGCTAAATTATTCAGTTGACATAGATTCATAGATTGTAAGGCCAGAAGGGATCACTGTGATCATCTAGTCTAACCTCATATTCAATTCATTGAAAACCTCAATTTTTCAAATTAAATGAAAGTGCCCTAAGATTTGTACCAGAGAACTGAAAAATCCAGAGGTTTTACTACCCAATTTAAATGCACCTTGGAGTGGAATTTAAGAAGCCTTGACCCTGTATACTTCAGTAATGTAAGTGAGAGAGAGAGAGAGAGTCATGCTCTTAATAAATAATGCAACCATCTCAATAATACAAAATTTAATGAGAGTCCTGCTATTTCCTTGGGTCCCAGCTGTGGCAGCATTGTTGTTTAATGATATTTACAGAATAAGTCTGTGCTGGAATAGCTTTCATAGGATGGACTAAAACTAGTTATTATGCAAGGATTGATGATTGCTTTTAGTGTATATTATTGATTCTGCAACCCTTTGTCTTTCTTTTCTTCATGTACAAGATTAGTTGTTGACAAGAAGAAATAAATTAAATATAACAGACATGTATTTTCACCAAAGATTTTCTATTTGAAGTTTATTTTCTTCAATTCCAAATGATACTTTGGTGATCACCTTTTCCAGGAATCATAAGAATGTACTGAGTAAGGCAACACTCTAACAGAAATAATAATGGTTTTAGCAGAAATGTACTTGAAAGTGCACACTGCATTCTTGCTACCAAGCATACAAGGGATGTTATGTTTATTCATAGAATTTCAACAGGAAACTAATAACGTAGGGCTATGCCCTTCTCTAGTGTAAATCAACATAGTAGATTGGAAGTGGCTGCAAATGATTTTCACCAACTGAAGAGCTGTCTGGTATTTCTCTAGTTTGTTCTCCCCCAAGTCAACCTGGATTACTCCTGACAATCCTCTGCCGTTTTGTTACTTAAAAGTCAATAAGGCACAAATCTGGTGCCCACAGCATAGCAACAACTGAAAAACAGTGGTATAGGGCTGCTGACACAGCAAAGAAGGGAGAATTCCATTCTACCAACTTGCATAGGCCCGCCACCCAATGCCCATTTAGCTGGATTTTGTACAGAGAACAAAACATGGAGCCCTAAAACCTCAAGAGGAAAAAGAAGCTCAAGAGATTCTTCAATACAAATATACGAAGTAGAACTCTAGGTTTAGAATTAGTATACAAATACCCTAATTAGAACATAGACAAAAATGTATTAATGTTGGGTATGTAACTTTTACTAATATTATGGATTTTGATTTAAGGAGAACTTGCAAATGCCATGTGTTACAAAGGAGAAAGTAGTCTATCTTTGCTGGCGTCTCTGCCTAGCCCTCTGCCTGAGCCGTCGGATTGACAGACTAATGGGCTGCTTTCCAAATTTTTCCATGATTTCTTTGATTCGTGCGAGGTTGGTTTTGCTGATTGTGAAGTCACACAGAGTGGCTCCCATGTCATAACCTACTGCACAGTTCTTGGTGGAAGAGGTATAGCCCTCCGCTTTTGCAGTGACCACATATTCTCCTGGGTTCAGGAGACGCCAGTAATCCCCATCACTCGCTGTTAAAGAAATCAGAAAAGATGATTTTCAGACTGCTGTCCTTTTGACAGAAATAACAACACTTATCGACTATTAAAGATCTATGTTAGATCTGTGACCTGAAGTTATATGTGTAGGGCTTGATCCTTGTGTCCAGTTAACCTCCCCTGGGCTGTAGTTGGTACCAGACCCAGAAAAAAAGTGGGGCACCAAAGCTGGCTGTATCCCTTCTTTACAGCCTTCTTTCCCACTAATTTTGAGATCAGCTACGTGACACTTTGGTGTCTCACACAAGCTGAAACAGCCTATGGGCTGAAACAGCCTCATTGAAACTCAAGAAATCCTGTTTCTGAACACTGGGGCAATGAGAGGAGCTGTATAGGGCGAGGTACACTGGCTTCATGTCACACAAGGATACTCCTACACCATGCAAGTAGCCAGATCTGCTACCTGTCTCGTACCACTAGAGCAACACAAAGTAACACGACAGACTCTAGGAATCTAGTTCATGGTATATATAACATTTGCTTGACAATGCCATACTTCTCTATAACCATATGTTTTAAGCAAACAAACTCCCTTTGAAGCCTTTTTTATGACCTTTAAATGGAAAAAAAGTTAAGATGTGCTTGATTCCAAGTTAAGTCACTACTTGGAAGAGTAACATAGACCTGGCTGCTCCCATGTGTGACTATGTATTTCTCACCCTGGAAATATAAATGAACCTTTCATATGCTAAGCAATGAAAAGAGTATGCCACCATGAAAATCCATTACAATTTTTGTTTCCCATTCAAAATTCAATAACTAAATAAAAATTGGGCTGATTTTTAAAATTCTCTGGACAGGTGAGATTCACACAGGGCTGAGAGAAGGGTTTAAAATAACCTGTTTCTCAACTCCATTAACCAAATTAAGATTGATCTGAGTGATTTGATATTTGCTGAATTAAAATACACCCACAATAGTTCCTTGATACCCCATATTTGCCATGTGAGGGTCTTTTCACTGTTGCCCTTCACATTCCAGGATCATGTTTTCACTGTTTAATATCAATTCATTGACAGAGCAATTTCAGTGCCATATGTAATGTAGGCCATGATTTTCAGCATAGTATTTAACCACATGCCCCACTTTAAAACACAGAAGTACTCCCATTGTAATCCATTGTCAGGGTTGTCCTTATGCTTCATCGTGCCCTACGCAACTGATTCCACTGAGCTCTCCACCCCTCGCCCTTCTCCCTGTGCAGCTTCTGATGAGGGTTTAGGGGTTTGGAGCTTCTCTTCCCCCACATCACCTAGTAGCTTCTGCCTGGGGCTCAGAGCTTCCCTCCCTTCCCCCACCTCATTCCTCCACCATTTCTGCTGGGACCTGGATTCTCCCTTCCTCCCCCTCTGGCATGCCACACATGAAGCTTCTGCTTGGGGCTGTGGATTCCTTTCCTCCTCTCCCTGCTTTCTACCTGAGCTTGCGGGCTTCCCTGGGGATGGAGCACAGCCAGAGAAGCTGAAAGCTCCTCTCCACCCCAGAGTGGCAGGGGGGCACCCTCCCTTCCAGCTGGCTATGCAGAGCATGTGGATGGGGGGGGGGGGAAGAGAGAGTGGCAGGGGTAGGGGGAGAGGAACCAAGCAAGTTTCAACAGAGGTGGATAGGGCCATAATTGGGCATACAAGCACACACAGCTGCATAGGGGTACCCTATGTAGTCAAGTATTTCATGTATGCCTAGGTATGGCTTTGTCCATTGAGCTATTTGTGCAGATAAAGTAAAGCACATGCTTCAATTCAGTTCCTCATTGAATCAGGGCCATATTGATTTTTCTTATAGAAAACATCCATAGATTAGTGATTACCCAATAATTTGACATTCTATGGTCTTCTTGTGGCATTACTTTAAGCAGCAAATATGCTTAGTAATGCTTTGGAAGAGGGGAGGAAATTTAGCTACTTACCGTAAAATCTTATTTATTTTACAGTTTGCCCTAGAAAAGCCTGATGAGTTGTAAGCTGAGTTGCATTCTCAAGGGTTCCTAGCCGTAATACTATATATAAAGAAACGTGACATCTCCCACAGGAAGAGTTATTGTAATGTTCATGTGAAATGACATTACTATTATTGGCCCAGCCCCTGGGTGACTTACGAAACAGTGTTGCTAAAATGCAAGACAATTTAGATGAAAAGGTTGTTGGCTGGGAATAACAAAGACTGTGCTGGAGCTAGGCTATATACTTCACTTCTTGCAACTATGTAAAGCAGGGGTGGGAAACCTTTTTGGGGATGGAGGCCACTGACCCACAGAAAAATTAATTGGGGGTCACACGTGTGAGAAGCAGTGGGGGGGGGAGGAGCGGCTGGAGCACCAGTGCTGTCTCCCCAATTCTGGGGGTCCCTGAGCCTTACGGGGTCAGATCAAAGCAAGCTGGGGATGCATCCAGCCCCAAGGCTTGAGGTTCCCCACCTCTGATGTAAAGGTATAAAATTGTGTATTAGGGGCTAGATAAACTAGGCATCATGCTTTGACATAGCAGGAATTGGGAGAAAAAGCAGTGCTAATTGTAACCCACTCATCTAGTGGGTGCAGTGCACTGTCCCATGCAGTGGCACTTAGACCACTTACAGCGAGAGATAAGAATGAGTGAGCTCTAGAACACAAGCTAAGAGCCAGCTTTATAGCTCAAGCTGTAGAGAGGATCCTACGTTAGGTCCCAGATTCAAATCTGCCTGCAGATGGTTACACTAATCATTTCCTGAAATTATTGGGACAGTACATAACTGGCACATCTGGTCAAGTTACTTCTTGTATAATAAAGAGGGCTCATATTTTTCTACCAACCAATTGGAATTGTTTTAAAAGATGGAGATGGGTCATATTCTCTGCTGCTAACTGGCAGCTGGGCACTTCTCGGGAATAGGGCTGAGTGGGGTTATGAAGAAGCTCTGCTTCATTCTGCCTGTCCTGCACTGATACAGTGTCCACTACAGGGACTTAGAGCTAGTTTGGAGTGGGAGCTGAGAACCCACTTTGGTTCCAGGTGCACCAGAGTAACTGGGCATATTTTCTTGGATACCAAGTGGGTAGGGAATAGGAAAGCCTGACTTTACCCCACTCCCACAATGCTGGTGTAGAAGGGTGTAGTAATTTGCAATAATGGATTAGACATTGGGCCAGTAGATCCTGAGACCAGAAGCCCCGGCCAATTCAGAAGCCTCAGAAAAAATGGATGCTCCCTGCTCCACTTCATCCACACAGAGTTCCTTCTAGGGAGTGGGGTCAGGGTGTGGAGGCTGACCCTGCTTCAGTACAGGGGAAGATACCCGCACCCCAACCTTATTCTCCAGCAGGAGCTCTGGTGGGCAGGGGAAGTTCCCTCATCAAAACATTGGTGATTAGTAAAATAATAATTGTTCGCTGCACATGTGGCAGGTTGCCATAGGCAAAATGGACTTTTTACTCTGAAAAGATTCCATTTCCATTTCAATTCCAAAGAAATCACAGACCCTTCCAGAATGATAGCAGAGTAGATTATGCGTTTGACACTGAGTACCTGTAATGGGCTAAGTCCCTGTATAAATCATGGGCCCTCAAAACAGCGGTCTTTGGGCCTCAACTTGTCCATGGAGCTTTCAGAGGGATTTGCAGAAAGGTAACTGGACATACAATGCTGACTTTTCTTCCTTAGTCTGCTGCTAAATATGTTTTTAATAGTTAAAAATGCATGAGGTGTTTTCCAAGTTGCCACAGGCATGTTCTCTGATTGTTTATGGAAGGAGAGAGGGTGTGGGATTGTGAATGGGAAAAGAGGTGTGCACATGACATTTTTGGTATTAATATATATCCCTTACACCTCTCTATGAGTTACCCAGACCTTGTATCTAGGCATGCAGAGGTAAGTGAGCACAGAATAGACAGGGTCTCACCTCTCTCCCTCACACAACAGATTAGTCAACACAGCTGAGCTAGCACAAAGCGTGTTGCAATTTGCTGCTGGTAAAGGCCTGGAACACAGGTGAAGCAGAAAGGGAACTATACTGCAGAAAAGTGTTTCGGATACATTATGTCTCCCAAAGCTATCCTTGGGATGGTTCAACTTGTGTGCCACCTTTCCTCAGGACTGTAACTAACCCTAAAGGCTGAAGTGTGTCTTTAAGTACAGCCCTGGGTGATAGGGTTGTGTGAACTCCATCACCCCAAGGAGCAAAGTTCTATATGACATTAATATGGTCATTGGAATCAGGCCCTACGTATAAATAAAAATATTTAGAATAACTTTAATTTCATATCTCAATGGCCTCAGTCAGCTGGCCTTTACAAAACAAAAAAGGGTCCAAACAAATTTGTTCATTCAACTTAAGAACTTATTTCCGAGGATCATCTTACTAACAGAGCACAGTTCACATGTAACCATAATACCATGTCCTCACGTCTATCCGATCAGTAGCTGTATGTGCATCAAGAAAAAAATAGAACAATGTTTTCAAGATCCTCATCTTATAAAATCAATCATTTCAATTAGTCAATTAAGATTATCAGCACCCTGTCACCATCCTCATACACCCATCAGATACATTGTTACAGCTAAGTGAAAATAACAAAAAGTTCCTTTTTCACTAGGATGGAAGAGGGGAAATTTCCTGAATCTAGTAAATGTCAATAGAAAGCTTATTGTCGGCACAGTCTGCTTAAGAGGGTAGCTGACTCCATTTACATGTCCAAAAAATAGCAGTATTTTAAAAAGTTAATAGCTATAATCCATTTTAAAGCAAAACTTTGAAAGATAAAGAAAGTTGCCCAGGTTCTCCTCTCATTTAAAACAATTTTGACCCAGTGCAACTCTATTGCTTCAATGGAAATATTCCCTATTTAAACAGGTATCAAGAGAGAATAATGAAGTCCCATATGAATAATTTATTTCTGCCTTTTTATATATCCTTTTAACTTAATGGCTATCCAATAACATTTCTTATTTAAAAAACTAATACCAGCTCATCCTTTTCCCCTATTCACTGTAAGACAAAACAGAAGTTCTATATTTCCATCTATAAATAAGAGTATCAACTTTTACACTTCCCAGATTTTGGAAAAGAATAATAATTATACTTTTTCATTATTAATAGCGAGAGGTGAACCTGAGCTAGACAATTCTGATTCAGATCAGCCCTTGACCTTCTTAAAAAGCCACAAGTGCTTACAGAGTAGATTATGGGATCGGCTATAATTCTATTATTATTCATTCATCTGGGATTCCCCTTGATATGCACTTCCTTTTGCAATTTCTCTAAATCATCCACTGTTCTATAGCATGGTACCCAATGTAACTGAGTATAATGAGGGATTGCCTGTATTCAGTTCCCAGCAGATATTTATCAGAGTAATACAAGCTACACTTCATGGCAGCCTTCCTGGTTAGTGAAAAATCAACTGATTATTTTCATTCCCTCTTCTGTTTCCCAGTGGCCCCATTTTGAAATATTTAAGGAAGTCATAATTGCCTTACACCACATCTGCAATTCAATGTTTTCTCTCACAGCAGAGATGCCGTAAAATTGAAATAAAACTTATCATAACTGAGCTAAATGTGCTGAGATTTATTGTTGTGTCAGCTAACCTAAAATAGCAGATATCTGAGTCTCAGAACTTGCTTACTTAAAACTGCTGGAGTTCCTGGTATGCCATAGTCTCCCATTGGTTAATTATGTCATACAACTGCACAAGCAGATCTTAAATTCAGTGATGAGTAGATAATGAAATACCCAGTATGCCATATTGTTAATTGCTTTTCCTCCTTCTAATACCAAACCAACCCTTGAATATATGGCCATAATAGTCTCACATTTGTTCACAAGATTACCTCCTCTGTATGTGGTATTTATGGGACAGATAGAATTCTAGAAGTATTGTTTTAGGGCTGCTACACGCGGCACGGAGTAGGTAGTTCGAATTAGGATCTCTAATTCGAACTACCGGTACACGAGGAGTAATGGTAGTTCAAATTAGAGATCCTAATTCAAACTACCTACTCCTGTGCCACGTGTAGCCGTGGGCACGGAGTTCGGACTAAGGGGGATTTAAAAATGGAGGCGCCCGGGAAGATGCAAATGAAGCCCGGGATATTTAAATCCTGGGCTTCATTTGCAACCCCGGTTACCCTCATTTGCCTACCTAGCTCGAACTAACGAGCTAGTATAGACATACCCTGGAGATTCTGCCAAGCATGCACAGTGGAACAGTAAAACTCAAAGGAGCATGAAGTTCTTCCCTTCATTCAACAGCTACTTCATCTTTTCATGCTCATCCAAACCAGACCCCTAAATCTTCCATGTTTCCTTAAGCATTAATAACCCTAAAAGAACCTTTTACTATTGTTAACTGGTGCTCTAATTATTTTGGCCTAGAAAGTCACAGCCCTTACATGGCCACACAAGGGAGTAAGGATTCCCTTATTCCCCAGCTCAGCCTGATTCAGACTGTGACTTCTTTTGGAAAGAGCAGGGGATACTTACCCAGTACGCCTGTTATAAGCAACTAGGCAGAGAGGGGGCAGAAAAGGGCAAGAAGCCAGAG